TTAGGGTTTAGGGCTCCCTGTGCTTCCCCCTTCTGGTGGCAGCTTCGTTGATCTGGCTGACTAGCTAGCTGCCTCGACCCAGGCAGTCCCCCTACCTGCCCAAAGATCCACAGCCCCCCATAGACAGAGAGAGAGGGAGAGAGAGAGAGGTGCCAAGTTCTCCAAAAGAACGGCCGGCAGGCAGAGAAAGACAGGGAGACAGGCAGATGAGATGAGGATTTGCTCGTGAGTTTGCCGTCTAGGAAAGCTTTCCTGTGTACATGCTGCAAGCAGGTGACTGTTCACCTGCTGGCCATCTATGTGGGCAAGGGCGCCGCAGCAGAGGAGCTGCTCATGGGCTGCAAGTATTGGGTTAACTTTTTTTTTGGGGAAGCTGATGGCTCCGTGCTATTTGATATAGTTCTACTTTCAGTTATGATAATAATGTTTCGTGACCGTATCCGGCACTCTCATTCGCTGCTGATAAGCTTTGTTTTTTTGTTGGCTCTATTGTCATTGTCGGAACTGAGCTGTATCTGTGGTCTCACCACTGCAGATACTGGACTTGTCATCGTAAGAATTTTTTTCAGCTGCGAGCTTTTTTCGGTTGGGGTTTAGGGTTTAGGAGGCCCTGCTGTTGAGGAGTGTTCGCTGTCACACAGTCCAAGCCCATGCTGAAAAAGGGTTAGGGCGTGGGAAGTCTTCCTAACGATTGTACTGCGGGAACCGTCCGGGGGTTTCATTGCTTTTTTGTGGGTAGCCGTTCGTGAGCTTGCGTTGGAAAGGGAGGAGGTATCTAAACCCTAAACCCTAAACCCTAAACCCATATTTACGGTACCCATGACCTTCAACTCGTGCTGGTGCGAGAGCTTCAGATTGATGCGAGCGGAAACCGCAGCAGACATAGACATTAGCCGGGTTGAGCGGCTCATGCACCTAAACCCTAAACCCTAAACCCTAAACCCTAAACCCCTAGAGCCAGAGGGCCCTTTTTTTCTAAAGGCCAGGGTCAGCTCCGAGAAGCGGCTTTCAGGACTTTCGGCTTCCTTTGCGAGACTTTTCGTACTTTTCCGCGAAAAATGATGCTCAACTGGCGTATGCCGAAGGATCCGAAAGTTGGAGTCCCAAGAACCCTGATCCGAACTGCTAGTGACTCCTGCACTACCAAACCTCCGAAGCTCTGAACGCCTTGAGCCTCAAAGTATCCTCATGTTAATCTTGGAGGGGTTCGGGTTAAGGGTTTAGGGTGTTTAGGGTGTTTTCAGCAATATTGTTCCATCGGACCTCCTAGTACCATCATAGTCTAAAATCCACAAGACCCGAGTGGAAAAAGCATTCAAGACCCTCCCTACGCCTGCAAAGGCCTAAACCCCCACAAAAGTCTGTGGGACTGTGAGCAATAAAATGCTCTGCCCCCAGGTCAGCCGCCGGATATCCTGCCTTGGAGGTCCTCGGATCCTTTTATAGGGTTCAGGGTTTAGGGTACCCCAAAAAGTTGGAAACCGGATTAAGGACGAATCGTGCTGGGATTCCCTATACATTACCCTTGCGGATTGAGGCTATTGGGTTTCCAACTGTTGGGCTTCTACTACAGGGTTTGGGGGGGTTCAGGTTGTGGGGTTTAGACGCCAGGGATCCTTGTGCAGTTTGGGGACGTTCTTTGGAGTAGGCGTGCGTGATTGTGGAATCCATATAGCAAAAAACACGAATCCGACAACTGTTCATGTTTTGGGTCTTATGATTATTACGGATGCTGCTCTCCGACATTAGAGCTCACTGTTTGACGAAAAGTTCTTCTGGGACTCGTGTAAGGAATCAATGTAAGGTGCTCCAAAATCTGAAGCCTACACCGCAAGAAAGGCCCCTTTCCTGCTTTTTTTGCAAATCAACCGCGAAAGCATCGGGCTATCATAGGGCTTGTATAGGCTTAGGTATTATGACTTGTTCAAGGCTTTTTTATACAGTCACTGTGGATTTGCGAGGTTATTGCAGAATCAGTGATCCTGTGAGACGAAGGTTTGCTGCTGGAGTGGTTCTTGGGTACGCAACTTTCGGAGCCTTCAAGGGGACCCTTCTGAAAGTTGTATAGACCCCTACTATACTATACCCTTTAAGGCGACCCCCCCTTATAGAAGCCTACTTGGAGGTTCATGGGACTTAATAAGTACAGTTCTAAGTACCCTAATTGGGGGTTATAAGTATAGTTACCTTATTTATAACCCTAATTACTAAGTCCCATAAGCCTTTAAGTATGCTAAACCCTAAACCCTAAACCAAACCTTAATTACTAGGTCCCATGAGCCTTTAAGTATACCCCGAACCCTAAACCCTAAACCCTAATTACTAAGTCCCATGAGCCTTTAAGTATAGTGCCCTCTACTGGACCTCCCTGAGAGGTGCTCTTGGCGTGCAGGCTGCTGGGTCGCTCCTGCAGCGACTGCAGAGACGAGGGGCTGGTGACTACAACGGCCATGTGGGAGTTATGAAAGCATTGGGTTTAGGGTTTAGGGTTTAGGGTTTAGGGTTTAGGGTTTAGGGTTTAGGGTTTAGGGTTCAGGGGTTTATGAGAGGATTGGGGTTTAGGGTTCAGGGGTTTATGAGAGGATTGGGGTTTAGGGTGCAGGGTTTAGGGGTGTATGAAAGGATTTTCGGGAGGTGTAGATCCAGGATGGTTTAGTGCTTTCCCTATGTCTGAAAGGATTCTCCGGGGGTCTCGTGCTTAGGGCGCAAAGGGGTTCTATATTCTGGATTTGAGACTCAACCGTTTGGGTGTTGAGGCTGCGCTCTGAAGTAGCTGTGAGTGAGGTTCGATACATTGCCGGTTTTTGGAGGTCATGCCTGTGATTTACATAGGGATTTGGGTCATTGCCCGTTCTGGAGAAGAAGTACCTTCATGCAGCTCCAACCAATGAGGAGCAGCCTTACGTGGGAATTTTGTCTAGATTGGAGTCTCCAGTTCGGCACCCATTGAAGTCTACTTGAGTTTGAGCCGAAGCACAAGCAGCACCAAAGACCGCTTAGCCCTAAACCCTAAACCTTAAACCCCAAATCAAAGACTTCACAGCTCTGAGCAAAGAAGCCCTGCAGGTGCCGAGAAGCGGGCTACACCTGCAAGGAGTGTACCCAGGTGCACACCTCCATCTTTAGAGATTCCTCAGCGTGGCATTCTCGCGGTTAAATTCATAGACCTTAGTTGTGTAATGCAAAGTGTGTGATATCATATATGACATGTAATATGTAGTCATGTAGTATACAGTTTCATATACAATACCCTAAACCCGAGCACGAAAGGCTGTCACCCTGCATCAACCGCTCGGCCGTTCGTCGCAGGCAGGCTTCACAGTGCGCCAGTGCCGGGTAGGCGGCTATTCCTGCAAAGAATGCCGCTGGCTTTCCCTGGCAACCTTTCATTTTGGGTCCGGTGATTCGTATTTAGAGGCCTATAAAGTCCCGCAGCGCGAACACTGCAAACCTCAAATCGCTATGGGGCCAGTGTTAGATCGGCAACAATGCGAAGCAGAAGCGCTCTACACAACAAATTAGACCCTAAATTCTAAACCGCCAGACCCTACACTCTCACCGAATCCCAAGAGCCAAATCACTTAAACCCTGCGGCCTCGAAGCTTTGGCAAGGCAGAGATGCAGGGCTGCTGACTACTGTTGCCTTTTGCGAGGTGCCATGGTGGAAAGGAACATCGTGCTCTACTGCAGTGCACATGTTGATATATGTGATACAGCATCCTAAAAGCGGTGGATGGGTGTAGGGTTTCAGATGGTCGATTTCTGGCGAGAGCGTCTGGTGGGTCGGATGCATCCATGGCCCAACCCTGCTAATCTTCATGCCGGCAAGTGAAGCCCAAGTGCTAAGCTGCAAGATTTTTTTGTGGAGACCTTTCGAAGTTCAAGGGAAGGCGGGCCGTTGAAATGATCGTTTCGCCACAGTCAGAGTCTCAAGTTCCTTCAAGTTCATGACCTCTCACGCACGAGGATTCGGCCCATTACTAGCGAAGATGGTGCAGACAGGACACACACACACACACATATCGAGTCAGGTATGTAGGATTACATACTAGATGCATTTCCCCATTTTGGTGGGTTTAGGACTCAGGTTTAGGGTTTCGTGCTTATGTATGACCCATCTGAGGCGGTTGGCTTCAGCCTGGAAGACTGTCGCGCTGCGGGCTACACCGCCGAGGACTGCCGCGACGCTGGCGCCTCTGCGGCTCGCTGCAGGCGCGGGGCGTCAGGGTTGAAGGTTTAGGGTTTAGGGCTTTAGGGTTTACGGTTGAGGGTGCAGGGTTAAGGGTTGAGGGATTAGGATGAGGGGGACTAGGGGGTTGAGGGTTTAGGGTCAGGCGGATTTCTTTAGAGACTGCGCTGTCGCCGGAAACGAGGTGTATGGCTCTGTATGACTTTACCTGGATTCTTGAGGGCCCCTGTAAAGGCTCTAGTGTTTGGGATGTTTCAGGCCCGTGCTGCTGATGCTGCTACTACTGCTGCTGACCACCGCCACCACCACTACTGTTGATGGACAAAATTCTACATGACCCAAATGTAGTATGGTACCATAAATCCCATAGTTTAGGTATATAAGGTCATGCAGGATTTTGTCCATCAACCGTACCACTGCCACTACCACTACCGCTACCGCTGCCACTGCCACTGCCACTGCCACTGCCACTGCCACTGCCACTGCCACTGCCACTGCCACTGCCACTGCCACTGCCACTACCACTACCACTACGACGACTGCTACTACCACCACCACAAGTGAGAAAACAATGCCGATGACTACTGCGCTCCTGCTGCTATTGCTTCGCATTTTGCTGCGGTTGCTTCCCCCCTTGCAGGGATGCCGGCTTCACCGCCCGGGAGTGCTTGCTGGGTGGGTTCAGCCAAGCGGAGTGTCGGGAGGCCGGCTTCCGTGACGTGGAGAGATGGCAGCATCTTTAGCAGTGGAGCGTTTTGGGCTAAGCTTCCGGCTTTGGTGATCGGAGGCTCAGGGATTGGGCTTTCAGGGTTTCACGGTACCTCGGACGGAGCCGTCCGACCTCGCCACCATTCGGCGTCGAGCCATTGCTCGAACATCACTGGATCCTCCGTCCTGTCATGTGGCGGCTGTACATAGTGGGTGCTGCAGTCTGCAGTTCGATGCAGTTGGAGAAGCAACGCGCCGGGAGCAAAAGGCTGATGATTCTCAGTGCAGCCGCCTCTTCCATAAGGCGGCTTTAACTATTCAGAAAGTATTCTCCGCTTTCTGCTACAGCCACGGATTTTGCCTCCAACCTGCAGTCAGATAGAGAAAATCGCCCGGCAAGTGTGGCACTCCTGCCGCACTTTCGTATAGGGATCTGGGGTTAAGGGTGTGCGGCAAGCCGGCAAGCCCAAAGCACCTTCGGTCCAACTAAGTCTAACCAAGTGTAGAAGGATCTCACCCTACCCAACGTCCTGTCTCGAGATTTGTTGGAGGCCTTTGCGTTTAGGGACACAGCCGATGCCCAGGTCAAATTTGTGCAGCTGGCTCCCGGCGAGTTCTTCTTCGTGTCTGTCAAGGCCGCCAGCCGAACCTAAACCGTAAACCCTAAACCCTAAACCCTAACCCTAAACCCTGGACCCTAAACCCTAAACCCTGAGAGCTCCTTTGCTCGGGAGTCTCTGGCGGCTGTGCCACACTCTGGAGCCCTCCTGATGCGTCGAAAGAGGCCTTACTCTTGGTTTAGTTGCTACTTGGAGTTTAGAACTCCAGCCATCACCTACACTTCCCCGACCTGTGTCTTCAGCTCTTCCTTCAGGCGCATCACCTAAAGGCTCATGGAACTTAGTAACTAGGGTTATAAATAAGGTAACTAATTAGTTACAGCCCCAATTACGGTACTTATAACTGTACTTATTAAGTCCCATGAACCTCCAAGTATTCTCAATGCAGGTTGCCTTCTCCGTGGGGCTTCTCATCGCGTTCCCGTATGCCCTCTTTGAGGCCGGGAGAGACAGACCCCCGGACGGATCTAGAAAGTAGAACCCCTAATTTGGGACCCTATACTACTAGGGGCTCTTTATAGGAACCCCCCTTAAGGGATCTACCTTGTGGATCCTCCCGGGAGTCTGGGAAGTCCTTGTTTGGTATGGGGCCGCAAGCAAGGATACTTTCAGCCGGAAAGTTGCATTCACATCCTGGGATGCTGAGTAGTGTAGAAACATCTGGAATCTCGCGAGATGTTGACATTGTCAAAGTGACTCCTTTCCAGCCCCAAGGCCCACTGTACCAGCTCTTTCCTAGACCCTCAACCCTCAACCCTAAACCCCAAAACCCTCAACCCTAAACCCAAAACCCTAGCGCTTTTCCGGTGGTCTTACAGCTGAGGGCCCCTGCCTGAGAGGATCAGATGCATAGAGGGTCTCACATCAAGCGGAAATCCCAAAAGGTCCTAAGTACTTATATGGGGGATACATGCCCAAACCATAATAGCATGACAGAAACCCGACATTCTATTATAGTAGTACGTAGGATCCTTTGGGAGTATCCATACTGACCAGAATTGGCAGCTGCCCGTGTGCGAAGACCATGGGGCTCGTTGCGAAGCCGACTGGTAAGCCGATTTCGGTGTAGGACTCCGAGTTGAGGCAGTGGTTTAGGGTTTAGGGTATAGGGTTTAGGGGTTTATGGGTTTAGGGTTGAGGGGTTTAGGGGTTTAGGTCTAGGGCCTGGGGATTTAGGGTTTTGGGGTTGAGGCGTTTTTGGTTGAGGGGTTTAAGGTTTAGTTCCTCTTCGCCCGTTTCAGCTCTGATGTCTAGTGACTATAGTGATACGACAAGCCCATCAACCGAAACCTATACCATAAATCAATCCCTGAATCTACGTGCCGAAACATGATCGTCATTAATAAACCCGAAACCCTAATCACTCAAGCCCGAAACCCTAAATGACCCTAAACCCTAAAACCCTAAACCCAAAACCCCCAAGTCCTAGACCTAGTACCGGGCGGTCGTTGAAGCAAAGTATCCCGAACAAAAGATCCGCACCTGTGAGCAACAAAAAGGGGCATGCACAAAGTGACGACCGACAGACAGCAGATTTTTGTATTTAGCATGTAGGACAGAGAATACAGAGTATAGTAGAAAGTATATAGTAGATAGTATGTAGTATATAGTATATAGTATAAAGTGTAGTAGACCATATTTTACAATATTCTGGTCTATTGCAGTCTGTCGTCATACTCTGCTTATCTGTAGTAGATCATTCCCAAAGGCTCCATGTACCTTTATAGTAGATACTTAGGCCTTAAAGGGGTCTCTATATAGGTACTTTAAGGCCTAAGTATCTACTATATGGGTACCTGGAGCCTTAGGGATTGTAGGCTATGCCTTCCAAGGCTGAGCAGCTTGTCCACGGCAAACGTTCATTCCCGCACACCTTTGCTTGGGGGCGAAAAGAACTGTCTGGTGCTTAGTCAGGAATGGGGGAATGGATTCCTATGATAGTCCCTTAAGGTCCCTTATAGTAGTCCCTATAACCCATTCCCCCATTCCCTACTAAGCACCAGACAGAGAATTAGAAGAGGCTTTTGCGGAAGATTATTCGATAATGCTATAGTACTGGAATACTCTGACCTTCATACGGCATGCTAAGGAATGGTATCGGCGATCGGTAGTTACTCAAGTTTCTCCATGAACCATGCCCGTGCCGGGATCACATTCTGGGATCATGCTGGTCCCTAAACCCTAAACGTTTAGTTTAGCGTTTCGGTTTAGTTGGGGTTTAGGGCTTGGGGTTTGCGGAACCCTAAACCCTAAACCTGTAGCATCTGTTTGGGCAATGAGCATTTAAACTAGACGGCAGTGCCCAGAAACGCAGACTATTCCAGGCAGGTCTTATATAAACCCTAAACATTCCGCGATTGATATGGTTAGTTCTCTATGTCAGGGTCCCTTTCCTTTAGTTGCCGTACTGTTTTGGGGCCCTACAAAAGGTTCCCTAAGTTCTATATGGCGAACCCTTCCCGATGTCTCAGATTTGGTTTGTGCTTTACAAGCTTTGCCGCCTCAAAGCTCAAAAGGCTCAATCCGACCTCCTACATGTGGCCAGCGTTCCAAGCCAAGAAGTTCTGGGGTTTAGGGCTTAGGGGCTTAGGGTGTAGGTTTAGGGTTTTTAACCGACGCAGGCCTCTCCCCGAAACATAGCCACAGTATAAAACAATCTACACTTCATACAGAGAACAGCAGTCAGAACCGCTTGCAGGACTAGGTGCATGCAAACGCCGACCTTGTTCGGTGAGAAGACGTCCTTGTCAACAAGATGTTGAAATTGAAGCCAAAGATAAAACCCTAAACCCTAAACCCTCAACCGTCTAAGAAGGAGTAAGATGATGTGTGTGGAGCACCGGCTATTCGGCTGGTTGCAAATCCTCGGAACTCATTCAAAAGACCAACAAAATCACCACCACAACAGGCTCTGTGGTTTTGGGGTTTACATCATTTCAGCTACCACAAAGACGAAGCCATGCTAATCATCATACATCCGTACTGTCGATGATATACATCCTGCATTACGTTAAGGACCTTAAACTATGGGAATTATGGTATTTTTCCCTATGTTGGGTAATGCAGGATGAGTATCATCAACCCTGGTATGGCAAATTCCTTAACAAGAGCCCACGGCTAATAGAGGGGCCTTAATAGTTAGGACAGGGTTTTGGGGCCCATTATACTATAAGTATAATGAGGACTCCCCCCCCCAAAAAAAAAACAGTATAGTTAATTATTTAGGCCACCCTAAACCCTAAACCCTAAACCCTATTCATGCACCAGACTTTGACAAGAGCCCAAGGCTTGCAGTTTGGTGCGAAGAGGCGTCTCCCATCTTGTCGGGGGTACACCCCTGAAGCCTCTAGGGCTTTAGTACTTGAGGCTTAGAGGGTTTAGGGTTTAGGGTTTGGGGTTTGGGGTTTGGGGTTTGGGGTTTAGGGCTTAGTATTTGGGGCTTAGGGACAATAGGTTGTGCAAGCCTAAACCTGAAATGTAAACGGCCCTGAACCCTAAACCCCTGAAGACTGAACCCTAAACCTAAACGGCCCTAAGCCCTAAACCCCCAAACCCTGGAACCCGGAGTGGATTGCCTAAACCCTAAACCCTAAACCCTAAACCCTAAACCCTAAACCCTTGCCAGCAAAGCTCTTCTTTCGACTTGGAGACCCAACTCTACTTTGGGATAGCCTCGTTGGCATGACCAGGTTCCCCAGTAGGCCCTTAATCATAGAGTAATAATAAGGATTTAGGGTTTAGAGTTTAGGATTGCGGGCTTAGGGTTAGGGTTTAGAGTTTAGGGGTTTAGAGTTTAGGACTTAGGGCTTCGGGTTTAGGGCATCCTTTTTCCTACTATTCGGCTTTGAAGAGGGAAACCCGAAAGAAAAAGCGAAAACGGGTGCTACTGGGATCCTAGATGAAACGCTGCGCGAGAACGTCAACGCACCGTAATCTACTGTAACATACTCACATGTACTTTCACAAAAAAGGTTACTCTATGAAACTCTACTGTCCTATATTATGCTATACTGTTCTATTCTGTGCTATACAAAACTATACTGTACTATGCTATACCATACTATATTTACTCTGCCAAACTGTTCTAGCCTATGCTGTGCTATACTGAGCTACAATATTCAACCTACTGAGCACTGCCGACGAAGCGAAGCCTCAAGCAACCCCGAACCCTAAACCGTAAACCCTAAACCCTAGACCCCTAAACCCCAAACCCTAAACCCTAAACCCTAAACCCTAAACCCTAAACCCTAACCCACCCTAGACCCAGCTTCAGTCCGGGAATCTAGAGAGCAGGGGCCACATCGGAGCCAGGAAGGCTTAGGGTTCGGGGTTTAGGGCTTCATCAGGGTTTGGAGTTTAGGGTTTAGGGTTTGGGGCTTACGGTTTAGGGTTGTTGTGACGGCTCCGTCTTCGCG